ACAATTTTACTCTAATCCTAGCTTCCTTTTAAAAACTGAGCTGCAAGTGGCTCTTTCCAAAGTAGTGCACTCTCTCCCTCTGTTGGGATATTCTGTTCAAGCTGTTTCTTTCCCTGGAGATACAAAGTAGTCCCCTTTCTCCTCCTTTTTCTTTAGGGTTACAAATGTATCTCTATTCATATTGTTGTAATTACTAAATTTATCTTTTAGTAACTTAAAATGCCTGTGTCAAGGGCAAGGTCTATTGTCCAGCAAAGATAATAAACTATAACTTCAAAGAGATGTTTGCATTTTAGAAGGCAAAAAGGAGGACCTGAGGAACTACAGACTGGTTAGCCTCACCTCAATATCCCGGAATTTACTGGAGCATATCTTAAGGAAGGCCATTTGCAAGCATCTGGAGGAGGAAAGGTGGACAAAAACAGTCAGCATAGATTCATGAAAAACAAATCATGTCAGATAAGCATGCTCTCTTCCTTTGACAAAGTAACTACTTGGGTGGATGAAGGAAATGCAGTGGATACAGTGTATCTGGACTTCAGCAAGGCTTTTGACATGGTCCCCACAAAACCTTCTACATAAATTAGAATCATGGGCTAGAATCTAGATAAAACTACTACAAGGTGGATAGATAACTGGCTCAATAGCTTCAAGGAAAGGGAAATTATTAATGGGTCCATGTCACAATGGCAGGAGGTTTCAAGTGGAGTGCTACAAAGTTCTGTCCTGAGCCAAGTACTGTTCATCTTGCTTATTAATTATGTGGATGTTGACATGGAAGGCTTCTGAAGCAAGTTTGCAGCTGGCACAAAAGTGGAAACGATTATAAATGTTTCAGGATGGGAGTACCATTCAGAAAGATCTCCACAGATTGGTAAACTAGGCTAAAGCTAACAGGATGAAGTTCCATGTGGACAAATGAAAGGTGCTACGCCTCAGGAAGAATAAGAAAAAAATATATATTAAAAAAGTGACACCTGGCTGGATAGCAGCACTATTGAAAAGGATCTGGGAGTCTTGGTATATCATCAAATCAATGCGAGTCTGCAGCATGATGCAGCTGCACAAAAGGTTAATGTGGTTTTGGGATGCATCAATAGAAGCATTAGATGTAAGACATGGGAGGTGACAACAGATCTGTACTTATCACTGATCAGGTCTTACATGAAGCATTGCGTACAGTTCTGGGCTCCATATTTTAAAAAGGACATGGAGAAGGTAGAGTGAGTCCAGAAGTGGGCAACTAAGATGTTAAAGGGCTGGAAAACAAGTCACATGAGGAGAGGTTGCAGGAACTAGGCATGTTCAGGTTGCAGAAAAGGGGATTAAGAGGGGATTAAGAGGGGACATGATAGCAGTCTCCAAATACTTGAAGGAATATCATAAAGAAGCAGGAAAGCACCTTTTCTTTCTTTCTTTCTGCAGAGAGTAGAACATGGAAAAATGGCTTGAATTTGCAGCAAAGTATGTTTCAATTGTATATCAGAAAAAAACTTCTTCACTGTTAAGACAGTGATGCAGTAAAATCTATACCTAGGAAACTTGTAGACTCTCCATCCCTTCACTGGAGGTGTTCAAGAAGAGGTTGGACAGCAGCTGGTCAGGGATCATTTAGGCATAGGTATGCCTATGTTCGACCATATGTATTAACCATACTTCTGTTTCACTAATTGCCCTGTGGCCAGATGGGGGTGAATAATGAAATCTCTCTCCCTGGGGCTCTCCTGCCACACTTCGGAATGATGGAACAACAAGAAGTTAATTCTCCAAATAGAGAGGGTGTAGTAAATCACCCAGAAGCAGGATAAAAGAAAATTGGTTTCTTAGTAAATCCCTCACAGGTTGTGGAGAATCCCAACTGTACTCATAGCTCAGTCTTCCTTTCACCCTCCACCACCATGCAGCCCACTCCCCCGAGCCAGTCTGCAATACTGCAGTCCCATTCTCTTTTCTCTTTCTTGCAAGGACCAATGGATCCTTTCTCCATGGGACCATCTCTCAGTCGGTAAGTTTCCCCTCTCTTCCTCACCTCCTTGCTTTGCCATTCGCCGTGGTTACCTCCGCCTGGTCAGCCAGTCTTATCAGCAAGCTGTTCCAGCACTGAGTCCGTTGCTCCTGGTGTCCCCACTGAATCTTTCCACACCATGCCCCAGGGGCAAAGGAAAACCCCTTGCCAGGGACTTAAGTAGTTGCTGGCTCCTAATCAGTTAACATTCACCCTGGGTGCCATCCCTTTCCCAGCTGTATATACTAAGTAATTAACTTTGCCCTGTCTCTGACCTAACTCTCCCTGTGCTTGCAACTTTGTAACATCAAAGAAACAGGGATGTCCTTGCCCTGTTACATGACCCACATCCCCATTCCCCGCTTCCTGCTAGGGCTGTGCGAAGCTTCGGGTGGTGATTCGATTCGGAGGAAATTCAGCCCGATTGGGTGGCCAAATCTCTGAATCTAAATCAAATCAGTGGATCAGTTAAAAGGTCTGAATTGATTCAAAGATCTCTGAATCTTTTCCAAATTCAGGAAGATTCAGAGAGCTTTGGTGATTTGGACTGTCTGAGGTGGCTGCAGCCAGACTCGGAGCTGGTAAGTAGGGGCTGGGGG